TTTGAACACCTTAGTTGGATTGTGTAACACCCCGTAGTACTCTGGTTGTTAACATACATGATATTTAACATCCACATTGGAAGACTTTATTTGAAAAGGAATAAAGCGTCTTATAAAAATACGAGTAAACTTTTTCCAAAACATTTTATAAAAAGATTTCTAAAAACGTTCACGTGAGATACTGCGAAGGCATAGTTCTAAACATACATCTACTAATTAATCCCATGAGCCAGTATTAGTGGCCATTGACCATCAAGATATGACATCAAGTATCATTCCTAACGGAGTCTCACGGACAGCATAACGACTGTATTTCGGATAACTGGGAACCTAGTCCCACACATACAGTTAACCTGATTGATACAATAATTTAAACAGATAGCTTGCAAGTCCCACACGGATTGCAATCCCCTCAATGGGTCAACACAACGATAAGGCTCCATGCCCAAATTAACTGAATACATGCATCAAGTCTATATTAATTCAAAGTATAAAAGCATCAGTAAATAATCCATGGCTCTAAGGATACAATCATGAGCCTAAATAATTACATACAATAATATCTATAAAATAATTCAGCATGTTAACAAGTCTACATGCCAACATCAAGTCTAAACATAATATAAAATCATCAGCTGCAACATCAAACTACTCCAATACGGGGGCCTTGCCCCTAGAAGCATCACCACTACTCTGGGTACCTAAAATGATATCTCCCAACGGGGTGAGATAACAACATCTCAGTAAGCTCAAGGTTCATGGAGGATCCTCTAATCCCCTGAGCCCACTTCCTGCATGACAAGTCAGATATAAAGCATATAATACAAACATACAGCAAAAACATAGCATCATCATATCATCCTTGTGTAACCCCAGGGTCAAAGCCATAGACGGTCAACACAACCTATGTATGCAATAGCTCCCAGAGTCAAGTCATAGGCAGCCTACATACCATGATCACTGGCCAGGATCCTCATAACATATATCATCAGTGCATCATCATAACATCAAGATCATATAACATCTATATGAATGTGAATGAATGCATATATACATCATACCATATACTTTCTTACAATGCAACCATAATGCCCACCATCATGGTGGGGCCACAAGAGAGAGAAGCAACTAGAACTAGGAGCTTACCTCAGGGAGCTTAGCACAAGCCCACACTCTAATATAATACGTATGCTCCAACAAAATCCTCAAGTGCAAGGTTATCTAGGCACATCTAGAGTAGGAACCATTCACATCATTAATTACATATTAATTAATCAAGTTATATCAACGACTTAATCATCTAATGATTCCACTTTTCATACTCATATGCCAATAATATGCTCATTACAAGTCTAGACCAATTATTACATAATTACGTATTTTAGTGCATTATTACAAGCAACCTCAATCTTCAATCACTTACATAACTTAGAATCGCATGCAAGGCTCACTTAGGTAACTTAGATTATTTTCCACTCATCCAAGCCATATATATGATTATTATAAGTTACTAAGGGTTCCCATAAACCCACTTAGCTTAAAAATCACTTTTACGATTTTCCCAAAACTGTACATGCTTCTGTTTTCTAGTCACTGAGCGCAACTCACTTGTTCTAAAATTCTCATCTTTTATTATGTTAATCTAGCCTCAATTACCTTTCCAACAAGGTATCACATGCCTCATTTGGAGTTTTCTAGCTCCGGTTATCACCATTTGATGTTGGACAAACAAAACTGTTTGCCAACTCCGAATAGAGCCCTAAATATCCTTTACCATTTCTACGATTCTGGAATATCTACTAAACTAATTTCTCTAAAAAATTATTCAGATAACTAGACACCTTCAGCTTTAATTCGACTTATTATGATCTTAATTTGAGTCAGAATAGAGGGAGAAATAATTCGTGAAAGTTGCAGCCATGTACAGCCCTTGCACATGGCCTCCCAGGGCAGTCCTCACTAAAACAAACATACAGAATGGAATACATCTTCAATTAGTACCAAATTTTGACACCATATAGCTAACGTCTCAAGCTTCAATTTGATATAAGGCACAGCCCTATATGACCTTTGTGGAGGGAGATATGCTCTCCCGAATTTTGCCTAAAAACTGATTATATAGCCCTAAATGTGTTTACTTAACAAACCTTAATTATTTTTTATTATAAATCCTAATTCACTTTAATTCTTAGATTTTTCTATTATTAAGTCCCATTATGAAGTATCCTTAGTCTCATTATGTCATGATACTTAAATGTTACTAATTACTTAATTAGTGTACCTAAACCCTACTTTAGTCCAATTTTAGAGTTAAATCCTTAATTACTTTTGTTAATTAATCCCTACCCTTAATTAATCCCTTAATTCATCATCTCCTTAATTTTAACACAACTAACCCTTATATACTTTATGGGGCAGATTTGATGAGCTATTTTAATTAGGGTTTTTAACCATTATTAATCATGATTAGTGAGTTTTAGTTAGAGTTAACCCACCTAGTTAATCTTTCTAATCATTTTTCCACATTTAACAACTTAATCACATTTTTTTGTCATCAAACCTTATTATTACTTGACATAGCCGAAATCATCAAGGTTCCATATAGGTTTCATGTTCATCTTTTTACATGAACAACACACAAAGGTCCAAAGGTGGCACCTTTACTCATCAAATCCATGATTCCATGGTTCAAAACACACACACCCTTAAAGATATTCATCAAATCATTACTTTAAAAAAATTTAAACAACATTCTCCTCATGAACATATCAAAACCGAGGCACTCAACAAGAAAAGGGAGGCTTTTTGGTTCATATTTCCCAAATAGGAGCTTACATCTTCAAGGTTCCTCCTTTAGCTCAAGTCTCCACCTTTTTCCACCAAGAACCTTCCTTTAAGCAAGAACAAACCTTCATGAACATGGTGCGAATTAGAGCTCAAGAACACAAGAAGAAAAGATGAGGTATTTTATAAAAAAATCAAGAGAACCTACCCACAAATCACAAGAACCAAGCAAACAAGTGTGGTTCTTCAAGAGAGCTTAAGAACACAACTTAAACCCTTGATCATCACCCAAAACCGTGGCTGTATATGGTTCTAAGGGCTACGAAATTTTGGCTTCACACCATAGAAATGGTATGGTTGTGAAGAGGAGAGTGAGAGGAACAACTTTGATGAATGATGTTTTGTGTTTTGGAGAGGTTTAGGTGAAGAAATCTTAGAGAGAAGTGAGAGAGTTTCAAAATTTGAAATTTAGAGAGAGAGAAGGTGAAGAGGGGCGCTGATCATCAAGGAAGGAAGAGAGGAGGGTGCCCTAATGAGGGGGTGCCATGTCACTAAGTGACCATTCGTCCTTTAGTGAGACCCAGTGTAATTTCTAACTGAACCGTCGTCAAATTTTTACCCGGAAACTCCCAAGACTGTAAATTTAAGTACTTAACAATAATTTTGTCTAATTATCAAGTTCACAACTTAAAAATTTGATTAGTAGATCACAGATCCACTAACAGTTGTTTAATTGCACTGTAGTCTTTACCGGTGTTCTTAACTGTACCCGGATTTCATAATCTTCTTAACTTTAACATTTTTGGTCTAATTATGACTTGTTAGGCATATATTGGTCTTTATTTCCATTTTCTCATATTTTTCCCGTTTCAGGATTCTACCGACGGCTGCTACAGCAGTACAAAATACCCGGCAGAAGTGACTTTTCAAAAATACCCCAATATGGGTATCAATCTTCATCAAATCATATCTTAACTTCATTCGTGATGTTTATATCATTAGATTAGCTCTCTAACTATAATTTGCTAACTTGAAGCTATTCTACTGACTGTTATTGCGTCAGCAGTCAAAATTAATAGAGGAATGTGTAAAATACCCTCAATATAGGTATCAAAATTCTTAGAATCTCGATCTCATTTTATTTATGACCATAAGATCCTCATCATAACCCTCTAATTTAAAAATCATATAATTAGGGTTATTATAGATTGCAATCCCCAATGGAGGAAGCTCTTCCTCCTCCCTCAACAAGGAGGTGCCCCAAGCTCTAAGGAAGGTCAGAATGAGTTCTTTCCAAGTCCTCCAAGTTAGGTTGGGTTTTGGGAAGATGAGAAAAGGAAACCTTAGGATTATTAAACTATCATTGAATACATTTTTATTCACTGCTGTTGTTGAGCTAAGAGTTTCTCTCCATCACTTTCTTTCTTCTTTCCCTCTGAGTACTATTCAGATACCTTACAAATTGAAAATGTCATCTTTAATCGAGACAAAAAAAAATTCATCGATAATTTTTTTCACTAATTCATCCATTTTTAGTAATGAAATAAATCTCATAAAAAGAAAAGAAAGATAATTTTTTTAGAGGAAGGTTATACTTACAATCTATTTTCGTTTATAACCTCTTACAGTCATATCTTAACCGTTAATTTCCGCCCATCAACATTTATCATTTATTGCGAATTAATAATTAATTAATGAGTTTGATTTACGAAAATAATAACCGTTGATTGGCGAAAATCAAATGTTAAGATATGGTTATAAGAGGTTGTAAACGAAAATAGGTTATAAGTATAACATTTCTCATGTTTTTAATAATATGCTATGAACAAATTAAATTTATCTTTTCTTACACTTTCACTTGTATATTTATTCTTGGAAATATTCCTCCATTGTCTATCTTATAACGGATATTCTTTTTTAACTTTCACTTGAATATTTACTAAGGGAACATTGCTCAGTTGTCTATCTTATTAAGATAAGATCAAATGACGTAACGCAAATGGGGAGAGAGAATAACATTCGTGTCCTTGCAAGTATTCCTAAAGTGAAGTTCATTGTGGTGTGGCACAATCAATGTTCAAAATATGTAAATCAAATTAATATAGAAGATCATAACAATGTATGTTATATACTTGCATACATATACATATATACAATGTATCCTTCCATAATTCGGTGTCATTTGTGTATTTATAAAGGAAACATTCCTCCCTTGTCTATGTTAATAGATCAAATGATGTAACTGAATGTGGAGGAAGAATGACATTCATGTTCGTGCTTGCGTTGTCAAGTGAAGTTTGTCGTGGCGCAATCTGTTTTCAAAATGAACCAATAGCGTATATAAGATAACTCTCTCAAGTATATATATGTATATATAATATATATTTGGTGAAACATATACATGCGTAATTTAGAAAAACATATATATACTACCTTATATGGCTCGGAGAAGGAATTTTCATCCATTACATTGGTTGAGGTTAGCACTGTCATTGTCGAGCCAGGTAGTTGCACGTTTGAATTCAATCCATTTATAGAAATCCTCAAGTTCTCGCTGCCACTTCCAAAATTCACTACCTGCAAAAGTAAATAACTCCAATTGGTGGATATATATATATATATATAGTGGGTACGTGACTATATTTTAGGTAAAGTTTAAATTTAAATTAACTTTAATTCTTAATGAAATTTTAACATAATATATTTATTACCTTTATTCTGAGGTAATTCTTCCTATCTACAGAATTTATATACTTGATTGCAGAAGCTACAAGTGAGTTGGAAGCAGTTTGAAGTGTTGAATTGAGGAAGGTTGCTCCACTGGACTCACTAAAAAGTGTCTGCAGCCAATAACTTGGAGTTGCATAAAGCTGATAAGAGTTAAATACAATTGCATCCGGAATCCACCTATGGTAATACAAATTCAATATGTTAATAGAAAATATTTACATATATAAAGTAAGATAAAAAATAAAAATGATGAAATTAACGTAAGAAAAAAAAAAGAGGTTGAACTTAATTTCATGATAAAGTATGAAAATTACTTCAAGTTATTTGCATTTGCAAAAAGCGGTGCATAGCAGAACATGTGGACGAGATCACTGCCAAAGAAAAATAAATGTAAATAATAATTAAGATGAATAAGTAGGATTGTAGATCAAACAAAGTATGAAAAATCAAAACACAGTTAACTGAACCTGTTCTTTTCTAGTCCAATAAGGAATGCAGCTTCAGCCACAGCAGACAAAAGGCTTCCTTTTTTAGCATCTTCATGCCAAACAGCATACTCACTAACAAACGCCTGTAAAGCAATATAGTACTCAAAGTTGAGCATGATCGGTTGTTAAATGAATAAATCAATAATCCATAAATAATTTACTAAAAATCATAACCAAAACCTTTGGACCGGATCGTGGTGCCTTATCGAACTTGGTAGACTTATAAAACATGTCCTTAGAATTTGTATAAATCTGATTAAAAAAAATAAAATTAAGAATAAGTGGCCAAACCAATATCCAAAATTAATATTTTTTAAATTGAAAATAAATAAAAAAAATGAAAATTCAGGAGTTATATATCTTGGGACAATACATGGAAATCATAGAGATCAGCGGGGTGATTTAACGGTTTTTCAGAAGCATCACAATTTGAGATTATCTGAATATCTGGATAAGCACGTCTTATAGCATCATAGAACTTAAGGTAGTTTCCTGTTCAATCAAAAATACAGAAGACAAATAAGAATAATGAAATATAATAATTGAATCCATCACGTATTAAAGATTTTTAAGTTACAAATATAGTCGTATAAAGCAAAATTTGACAGCTGGTTTTAAGTATTTAACATATACATAAAATACTAGCCAATCCATTCGATCGGCACATGTAATAATAATAATAATAATAATAATAATAATAATAATAATAATACAGATGCATACCTTGATAATTAACCTTACCACAATCTTCATTTCCAACAGCAACATATCTCAAGTCAAATGGTTGAGGATGTCCCATGGTAGCTCTAAGAGAGCCCCATTGAGATGTGGGAGAACCTCTAGCAAACTCAATGCCATCGAGTGCTTCCTGTTAATTAATGCAAAGGTGTAAAAATAATATAGTTAATATAAAAATTCATAAAAAAAATTAAGAAAAAAGATGAAAGAGAAATAGAAAGAAAATTATACTTGCACAAAAGGTAAAATGTCAGCTGTTTTAATTTCGTCGTGATGGCTGAGACCTAAAGGAGATATTTGATTAATTAGAATTAATCCAAAGAAAAATGTTAATAGTGAGTAGGGTAAACTTAAGAACAAAAATAAAATATACCATTGTTAAAGACCCATATTGGTAATGCACCAAGATCCTCAGCTAACTGCTCATGGAACAAAAGATTAGTTTTACAATTAATGGGGAAAACATAAGATATTTTAGAAATTAAGGATAATTAATACTTACTTGGAGGCCCTCAAAATAACCCAATCCATCATCAGTCCAATAATTCCAAATATCATTTAAGTGTCCCGGTCTATCCTCCCATGGTCCAACCGTTTCTTTCCACCGAAATGCGTTTTTAAGATAATCTCCTTCAACAAAACAACCACCTATATATAATGCATGCATGCAACAGTTAGGAGAAAAAAAAACAATAGTGTTATGTACGTCTTAGACGAACTATTTAATAATTACATACGTAAATTCTCGGAAAATAGATGGATACTACACACTTTCCAATAAAGTGGGTAAAAATAGTTTACCGAAAGAAAAATAAAAGGAAAAAGAAGTGGGTAAAAATAATATAAAATAAACTTATAATTAACTTTGACACATACCGGGGAATCTAAGAAATCTTGGCTTCAAATCTGCTACCATTTGAAAAAGGTCCTTTCGGAAACCATTACCCTGTGCCAAGAGAATATTAATGAATTGATGCTCTTAAATGGAAGGAACAAAAAAAAAAAAAAATTTAAAAAAAAATGCATTAATTGGCAACATTCCTACGTGCATACCATATAAGTGTCCATGGGCATAGCAGACACTTGATCTAACTCTCCAAAGGATGTTCTCCTCTTAATTACCTGATTTTTCTTGAAGCCAATTTTACACCATCATCAGATCCGACCAATGAAACTCTTAGATCAATTGC